CACCGACAACCAAAGAAAATATACTATTTTCAAATTAAGGTCAAATTTTAGAGGATTTAATGAGCTTCAAGGATAGGGTACAGTTTTCCTTAATAACCAACAGAGACAGAAAATAAACTATAGATATGGGAACAAGAACAAAGTGGGTCTCTAATGTTGCTGTTCAAGAGGCAGAGAAAAAGCAAAGGGCGTGAGGTAGACAAATGGAATTTCTCATGGGCTACCCAGCAAAGCGGATACCTCAAACCAAATCACTAGATGGTGGAGACGTTCGGAGATGTCCTTGAACACAGCTTCAAAGACATTTCCCTGCACATCAGTTTTAAACTTTTAGGCTATTTTCAAAACATCTTGCAACAGTTTCAAAAGCTTGGATAGAAGTTTTGATACAAGACAAACATCACAATTTCATTTTCCCAGGCAGCTCCTTTCCCACGATTGTACCACACTTTTGGCCACTCAAGCACATTTTTGGTCATAGACATTTTGAAATTTTTATATAGCCATTCTCCATGTGCTCGGTCAGCTTCACAGAACAATTTCTCTTCATCCAAAGCTAAACAGCCTCCTTATGCATCGTGCACATATTTGTATGTTAACTGCTCATATACAGAAGTCGTTCTATTGAAGGCAGGTGACCTCATTTGTAAATGGTGAGAGGCACTCAAAAAGTCACTTGACTTTAAATTAAGCACAGAAAAGTAAAACAAAAGACACTGGGAGCATTTGTGAAATATTTAGGCATTATTAATGGACTAGACAAATACGAGGCGGACGTGACCCTAAGCCAGGGCCTGTGTCATGCTAGCTGTAAGGAAGGTGTCTGGAATCAAGGACACCATAACAAGTTATGTTTAGACTGGCATGGATCATAATCAGCATCAGCCATAAATGGAGAAACCATTTTAAATTAAAAGTATTTGAGGAAAGAAACTGCATCCGGGTAAGTAGCAGGCATCAATTTGAGTAAAGGGTCTAAGGAAAAGGAAGTTCAGTAACGAGGGGCCCTATTTTCAGAGGAATCCGGTGTAACTGACAATCAGAAAGCAAGTGAGCCAAGAGACAGGATGAAAGGATGAGACAGAAATAAATAGAATTACTGGTAAAGATCCAGGGAAACAAGGACCCCTTTCAGAGAAATCGTTTGTTGGTTCTGTTTTATTGCTTCACCAAGGTAGGCCAGGAGACTGTAAGTGGGTCTGCAGAGGAAAATAACGTGGAATAGCTATTCAGGCAAAAACCACACGGAGAACAGAAAGTAGAGGAAGGTGCTAATAAGACTGTGCCCCCCTGGTGTACCGGCGCCCTCAGATCAGTGGTTATCCTGCTGTTAGCAAGTTAAAATCATTCAGGTGCTCTCATGACTTGAAAAGTGTGCAAAAGTGTCCCTGCATTTGGGATGGATTCAGTGGCAGGTAGTTGAGACTTTAAAATAAAAATAACATTTACTATCGACCACATGCCAACCACTAGTAAAAGCTTTATACACGTTATCTCATTTAATCACTTATTCGTTCTATATTTGCTGAGCACCACTTGTCGTTTCAGACCCTTTCCCAATAATGTTATGTGTTATTAATATCCCCAATTTCCACAGGGAAAAAAAATGAAACACAAAGTGACTGAGTTATGTGCTCAAGGTCATATAACCGGTAAATTGCTCACTTAAGCATATTTAATTTTTGTTTGGGAACAGTGGATTCAAATAGTCTCTTCGCCACTCAAATGATTTGTGTTTCTGGGAAAGTTACTTATATTTTTCCCCCTGTGTTTCTCATACTGTGAAAGGGGAAAGTGTTTGCACCATTCTCAAATTTGATTTATGAGGACTCTGAAGAATTCTTGAAGGAAAAAAGGGGGGCACTGATAAAATGGAATAGGTGCTATAACCATTATCCCTCCCATAAATAGTCCAAGCATATTTTTCTCATGACACCACCATTGCATGAGGCTTTTTCCTCCTTGTATTTTTTTTCTTATGAAAACACTATATGCCTACAGACCTTAGGGATATACAAATACTCAAGATTCTTAACTCTGACACAGAACCTGTTTATGGAGGCCAGGGCTTCAAATGAATGTTAATATGAATTTGAAACTGAAAGCAAACAGCAATTATGGAAAATGTAGCCGTGGCTGTAGGTTACATCTTTAAATCCATATTTCTTGGATGCCTACTCTCAGCAAAGCACTTCCCTGTAGGCTATCGTAATTGTGTGTCCCAGTAAATATTTTACCTAGACTTGAGCCTCGCTTCCAAACACAAGTACATCCACAGGGTGGCTGAAGAGCAGTAACGTATAAAACTCAGCTTCCAACTTTATAGGCTTTCCTTGTGCTCACATATCAAAATCCTAGTTTCAGTGTGAAAAATTTTCCAGAGTATACAAGAATGGTATTGTTCAAGGAATGATCCTTGAGTATCACTTTAGTCGAGGACACAGGGAACCTCTCAGAATCCAAACTGCTACTGAGATTAAAGAAAGGTCTCATTTATTTGTGTAGCATAACAGAGACTACCTTTGCCTGTCATTCCCGACGCAAAGAATTTATTCCTCTCAAAGGCAGAGTTTTGTAATATGGGAAGAGCCCTGGGCTTGCAGGCAAAAATCTTGAGTGCAAGTCCAAATTCCACCACTGCTCTACACTTCTGGCCAGTGGTGCTCCAGGTGTGATGCCCAGACTTGCAGCATCAGTATCACCTGAGAACTTAAGAGGAATGCAAATTCTTGGGCTCTCCAACCTGGCTGAATCAGAAACTCTACAAGTGTGGGTTAGCCCTCTGCCTTTTCATAGGTCATCTGGGGGCTCTGAGGCCCTCTCGAGTCTCAGGGCAACTTCTGTAGGCAAATTACCTCTCTAGAGCCTCAGTGCTAAACAGGAATAATAACAGATTGGTCTTCTTCAATGGGTGATTCAAACTTAAATTGTTATAAATATTTCATAACATGCAAAATTGCTTAGCAAATCTGCAAATTACTAAATAATTGCAAAGCACCGCTTTAGGAATATAACTTCTAGTGTCATTTCTCAATCTGAAAAGTACGGTCATGACAGGTCAGGCAGAGAAACAGCTAATGGAGGAGTCTGACCAAGCGTGTTTCAGAAATGTGAAGTTTTCTGTTAGGTCTGCAAATGTTTTATAGATATTTCGTTATAAACCTCACATCAAAGGCAAATGTCATGATGCCCCCTGGTGATGATCATTAGAACTTTTTCTCACTTTAGTCAGGTCAACTTTTTCTTCAAATGACTTTAATTTGAAAATAACTGGACTCTTGACGGTAAGAAGAGCTAGAGATCTCTGCCATAAAAGATTTTTTTAATTAAAAATAATTGTTTCAAGGGAACTAAAAAAACCCAGTAGTTTACTTAGCTTACAGTCTAATGGCAAGACAGACTTGAAAAGAAGTACTCTACTACATGGTATAAACCATAGTGGTACCATAGAAGTGGTGGCACCAGAAGACTGCTTTGGAAAACATGGAAAGCAGTACAGGGCAGAGGGCTGAACTAAGACTTGCAGGATGATAAAACTTGATAGCATTTATCAGGTCAGTATTAACAACACCCAATTATTAAACATTCAAAACTGTATTTTTGGAAGACAATCTGGCAATTCCTAAGGAGTGCATTTGTTGCGATGAGCACTGTGAGTTGTATGGAGATGGCGAATCACTATCCTGCACACCTGAAATTAATGCTACACTGTATGTTAACTGGATTTTAAATTAAAACTTTTAAAAAGAAATAATCGCGCAATTACCATATTGACTCAGCAATTCCACTTTTAGGTATATACCCAAAAGAAATGAAAACAGAAATTCAGACAGATATCTGTACAACCCATGTTCACACCAGCATTATTCTCAAGAGCTGAAAGGT